TGATACAGGCTTGAAGATTTACAGGCATTTCAGGGTAGTATTTGGAGTAACCTGTAGCCCATTTTTGCGGTCCTCAACTATCAAATACCTTCTGATGAATGTTTTGAATGAAATAAGGGAAAAAAAGGCTAGTTATCCTGAATATGTTGTATTTGTGGCCTTCGTCTGAAGATGTCGTTAATGAGGAGGAAGTAAACTGTGAGAAAAGAAAAGGTGTCACAACCTCAATGATAAATTTTGAAGTGACTAATTTTTTGAGTTCTAATATTTCTGACTATCGAAAAATTGTACATACTATGGCAGGGGTGAAGAGATTTCTTTTTAATTGCAAAAATGAAGAAAGAAGAAAAGGAGATCTTTCTGTTAAGGAATTAGAAGAAGCTGAGAAAACTACTGTATACTTAATACAGCAGGAGTCATTTACAGGAGTTTCAGATAAACGCCTTAAAACTCTAGATATATTTATTGATGAGAGAGTGGAATCTATAGATTAAAAACAACTGTATATAAAAGAGACGATTTTGAAGAGTTTAGAACACCTGCTATTTTACCTGGAGAGAATTCTATAGTAAAACGTTTAGTACTGTTTGAACATAAGAAAAATGGACATGCTGGTAAAATCTATATTGAGATCTTGCGTAATCTGCAAGCGTTTTTCTGTCAAACCTGTAGATCCACCAACTGCATCACCACCAGCTGATAGAGTTCAAGATGCAGCTGTTTTCCAAGTAACGGGAGTGGACTTTGCTGGTCCTGTGATTTTGAAAGACAATTCAAAGGCCTGGATATGCATTTTTACCTGTGCCGTTTACAGAGCTACGCATCTTGAATTAGTCACATCACTATCAACTGAGGCATTTTTACTATGTTTCCATCGATTTGTTTGTAGAAGAGGAAAACCTTCGATTGTATACAGCGATAACGGAATGAATTTTACAGGGAGTGCAAAGGCATTATCTTGCATTGATTTTAAACAGGTTTTTGTTAAGGCGAGGGATCAGCAGATTACCTGGAAATTCATACCTCCTAGTGCTCCCTGGTGGGGAGGCTTCTGGGAAAGGCTTGTTGGAATGATGAAAGGTCTGCCGAAGAAAACCTTAGGTCGAGCGAGTTTAGCATATGAA